ACAAGCATCAATCTGTAGACAGTAAAGACTTTTTTTATGGATGACGCATATCAAAATATATAATTAGCGTATCGTATAATAAACATAAGGAGCAATATGCGATGCATGAACAGGTACACGAAAATAAACCATAACAGAATTGTAATAAAAATAATAAGTATCAGAAATTAAATGACCCGTAATCGTATTAATATAAAGATAAAAATAATAACTGTAAAGAAAGGAATATCATAATTAGGAGAGGTTTTAATAGTAATTTTTAATAGTGCTGTTTCGGAACAAAGTTAAACATGAACATAGAAAATTAATTGGCAAAAGATGGTACAAAATTAGAAAGTATGTATTTAAAAGGTGTAAGGAACGAAAGAAAAGAATGTTCAAAAGTGTGAATACGAATGATTGAGTTTCTAGGTTTCGTCAGTATTGGATTGATCCCCAAATATTTGATGGTGCTTGCCAGGAATTCATTACGAGCGAGAATAATGCAAGTTAGTTTATGAAAGTGAAGCATGAAGGTATACTAGGGTAGTCTGAAAAGTTTCCGATTCACGCATATATAACTGGAAACAGGTAACACGAACCCTACCTATGTACCTACGTTATTATTACTATATATAAGTCTCTTTCAATTCAATAAACGAGACAGTTTCTAAACTGCATCTGCGTGCTTAATTTACTCGCTTGTCTTGCTTCTCACATTGCAGTTACTTTTAAAACCGAACTAGACTATATATTGACAAACTTACAGAAGAACGTGTACAATATACAAGTCATCAACTTGAATTTCTCTACGGACCACAGATTCGTAAGAGCACAAGAACAACACAAGAAGCTCGCTTAAAAACGTAAAAGAAAGATCGAGATATGAACAATCGACGGCTCCGTGGCGCAGTGGCTTAGCAATGAGTTGCTGCGCTGGGGGGCGCGGGTTCGAATCCCGCACGGAACAAGTATTTGTATGGCCTACAAATGATTGTTCCGGGTCTGGATGTTTGTCCTTGTGAAATTTGTGTTTGTAAACTGCATCCACGATACAGGAGAAAATCCTAGTGTGGGTGTAACGTTTTTTTTTAAAAAAAATAATAATAAATAATAAATAATAATCTCTCGAAGAATACAAGGAAGACCTTTCAAATCGCCAAGAAATTAACCCTGTACGAGAATGCTATGACAAAATAATTATCATTATAGAAACCAGTTTGAAGAAAGCTTTCGTACAAAATAAAGACGTGGAAAGAAGCAGCGTGATATCAACTCATACTACAAAACTAATACAACGCGGAAGTGCTCTACAAATAATAAAACCAAAGGCGCGAGCTATGAAAAAATAATTGAAAGCACTTTAAAAACTAGTAAGCAAATATGTTCGAAAAAACAACTCAAACCATCGAAAACATACCATCGAATAATTTAAAATTAAAAATTTTGTACAGACGACTTCAATATAACTTATTAAGAATAACTCAAAAACTATTGGTCTGACCTTGATCAAATTCACATGGGACCACCTAAAAAAGAATCATCGAAATCGGTTCACTCAGTAAAAAGTTATGAGGTAACACACATAAAAAAATACAGTTGAATTGAGTACCGTCTCCTTTTTGGAAGTCGGCAAAAACATATTAACTCTACAGAAAGTATTAAAAAGCGTAAAAAGAACTGCAATCTGATAAAACATGGATAAAAGGTCTTAAAGAACAACGCCTGACCAAAGAGAGATCCTATACATAGCAACTAACTTTTATAAAAACTTGTACAGTGCTCCAGAATGCCAAGACATAAACCAAACTGAAACGGAAAATGATGACAATGACGTAAAATAACCCCAGCGGATAAATTGGAAATTATAATGGGAATTAAAAAGTTAAAATCAGAAAAGAGTCAAGGACCGGAGAGAATAACAAAGGAGGCCATAAAAATAGCTGGCACTTACTTAGTTAGCCCTCTGAAACATCTATTTAATTTGATATTAAGTTTCTCTACAACACCCATATAGTGACCTGAGTCTAATATTATCTTGTTATTCAAAAAAGTTGTTCCAAAGAACATAGGCAATTATCGACCAATAAGCCTTCCTCCATCACTTTATAATTTTTGCTCATCAATAATAGAGAAAAAAATCAGTATTACACTGGAAAATAGTTAACCGATTGAGCAAGCTGGGTTCTGAAGGAACTATTCCACTATAGATCACATCCACTCTTTGGAACTTCTTATTGAAAAATATCAAAAATATCAACGACCACTCTACATAGCGTTTGTAGACTAGCAGAAAGGTTTCGATACAATACTACATCCCGCAGTAAGGAAAGTTTTACAAGCATAAAAAGTGAAAAAAATAAAATAAGGGAAAGTCTTAAAATATCTTTACGAGAACAACACTCGTAGAGTGAAACTAGAGAACACAGGACCACCTATCCCCATCAAAAGTCGTAATAGTAGTACCAAAATAAATTATCGGAAAACTAAATTGAGATAGAACAGGTAGGCAATTATATTTGCTACTTGGGGTTCGCCGACGACATTGTTCTTCTGTCAGAATACCGCAGAGCTACCTAGAGTCAAGGTTACATACGTTACAACAAGCAAGCTGAGAGGTAGGACTAGAAATTAATCCGAGGAAAACAACACTCATGACAAATACCGCACAAAACGCTATAAGTAATCGTATGTCTTTAAAATTTAAAAGTCAGATGTCAATGAAAGTCAAGAGCAAAGTTTAAGCCTGTCTAACGCAGAAGTTCATACGACGAGCCAAAAATAAAATCACTTCCTGCAGGCGAATCATGGAGAGGCATCACAAAAATCAGAAAAAGTCAGAAAATCCGTCATCAGTCAAAAGACAGGAGAAACAGATCACGTATGCTCTAATGCGTCATGGACAGGTACCACAGGCACTCGAAAAAGGGGAAGACCTGCAACGACTTGTTCAAAAAGTGGCTGTCAGAAGCCAAAGACCGAGACCGCTGGCGTTTTCTGGAAGAGGCTTTCGCCCTCACTACTTGAGGGGTTCATACATGTTATTTTATTTTAAATCTATACTTTACTTTAAACATATATTTTTATTTTTAAAACTATATTAAAAGCCAAGAATTATACGAATATAATTATTAAAAAAATGAATTTAATTATTACATTTAATTTAGAAACAGAAATGCAGTTTCAATTGAAAACATAATTTAATGTAAGAATCCTTTACTAATTATTTTATTGTAATAACAGGTTAAAATGAAAATGTTAAAATATTGATGAAAGCTACGGATGAAGTAAAAGGCTATTTTATTTTGTTTTATTTTATTTTATGTACATGAACATTTGGAAATCCCTTACTAAGCTAATTAGTATTGCTTTCCTAATCCGCTTCAGCATCATCAGTCTTAGGGAAGGTTATGAGTTGAACTGTGGTTGGTGCCTTATAGGAGTGTCCGTGCTACGTCCATGCTGTGTCTGTGCTTTTCGGGTTCCGCTAGTCTTACACATGATTTTCACTGCTTTCGACTTCTTATTAAAGCTTAATTGGTAGTGCATGAGGAATGTTATTCAGTATTAATTATTTTCTTTAGGCACTTTATAGCAATGTTTGGTTTTTAGAAATTATTATTAAGTCAAAATATATATTTTGTGTGAAATTGCAATTTTGTTTTGTCAGGCGTTTTTAACGGTTTTTCAATTTACATTTCACCTCTGGTTTCTTATTCACCTCTGACACTGATCATAGACACTGGTGGTAGACAATGCATAGCCAAACATTTTAGAATATAATTTTATATCAGGTATTCTCTGTTAGGCGAGTTCAGTGTATACTTATGCATACAATAGTGACCCTGATATCCACAGTACCATAACTATATTAAGAATAATTCTTAAAATTTGGAAGCTTGCTAAAATCACTCCAATATTTAATAGTGGTCATGAGCATAACATTGAAAAGTACTGTCCTATATCCATAGTGAAAAAAGGAAAGAAATAAAACGGTAATGTAGTAAAAAAATTTACGCCTTATTTTTATAGAATAAGGGTGACAAACGAGCACACAGTTCACCTGATGGTAATGGCCCATAGACATCTATATATATATACTCAATTAAGAATCTAAATGCACATGCGTTATTACCCCCGAGGACTAAGATAGAATACCTCGTCTCCAATAAAAAGAGTCGGGTTCTCTATACTCACCATATGAAAGACAACAGCATTAAGTTGCTATTTTACGCTGATATGAGAGTGCGTGGTCATCCCTGGTCGAGCCGACCCATTCATGCTACTACCATAATATAGTTGCAGCGTGGTTCTACCGCGTAAAAAAGGTTTTCGAAAATTTTGTACACGATGTAATTTATCCAAGTCTGAAGACTTCATATTGCCTCAACAACATGGTTTTGTTAAGCGTCGCTCCACTATTACCAATCTTATGGTATAGGTACTTATACTAACTTTATCTTTGAAAATATGGACTATCGTGTACAAATAGATGCTACAAACAAAGGTTTTAGAAAAGCTTTTGACAAGGTTGACAAAAACCACTTTAATAAAATTGCATTTAACGGCATGCATGGTAACTTGTTGAGATGGTTTGCTTCGTATATAGAATTATAGAACACAAAAAGTTTTAATAAATATTTGGCCGTGAGTATGAGATCTTGCCCGCAAGGGGATCAGTCCGGGGAGCAACCAACGCTCCATATGTTTGTACAGAGGTGTCCTACATATAGCGCAGTACTTCGGAACATTGATAGCGTGATTTAGGCTTCGGTGTGTTTCGATGTATACAAACGGTTTTTTTAGTTTGATACTATAAGTCATCTAACGTCCTTTAAGTTTCTTTGGTGAGCCCCGAATTATTAATATTATTTATAAGTAATATTGCTATTTTTTATAATTGATACACTGCACACTGTAGGTACAGGAATGCAACAGCGCGGCGACGACGAACCCGGCTGGCACATCGGCAGTACCAGCAGTGCCGTGACCTCGCACTTGACACTGCATACTGCGGGTACCTGCACGAGAGTGGCAACGACGAGTCCAGCGGCGAGTGCAGTGTGCAATGGCGGCTCGGCGGCGCAGCTTGACAGGCACGTCAGCAGCACCAACAGTGCCGTACCGCACACCTCCGCTGCCACCTCGCGCCACAGCCCCGCACCGCCCCCACTACCTCCACTATCTGCCTCACCAGCACCCGCCCCACACACGCTGCAAGGACCCACGTCCTCCACCTCCGAATCCACGTACGACGCCTGCTTCGAACCACATGATTCAATTCCTGAAAACCGAGATTTTTATGAACTTTATGTTATATACTATATGTTTATTGTTTTGGGAAGTTTAAATTATCTAATCAAATTGATCCGAAAGTCCCCAACGCCGCCATCACGTCAAAGATCGACATCCCCCACCTCCAAATACACGTACTAGTCCTGCTTCGAACTACATGATATAATTCCTGAAAACGGAGAATTTATGATCTTTAAGTATACTACTCAATTTTTAACAATCTCAAAGACTAAACCTTCAAAAATCAACAAGCTGTTTGCGTCAGAGTTTTTCGAACCTCACTATATGCGTGCCATAAATTTTTCCACCTTTTTTAATTTTTTAATTGATTGATTTTGTTTTGAGGTTAAGCTTGCGCGGTGTTCTAATACTCGATTGATTAATAAGTTTTCAGTATAGGGAACTTATTAATGAGTTATAGGGATGCGTTCTAGTTTTTTTTTTATATATTAAATTCGTTAGTAGCCAAGGAGAGTAAAGACTAAGTTAAAAACTATACCCAATTTTTTTCAAGCTTCACATTTGGCGGGAATTTGACTTGTATGCAAAATAGAGAAACTTGAACTTCGTGCGGAAAACTGCAGTCTACTTTGACAGGCAATGAGGACACTTACTCCGGGCAGCCAACAACGGCTGCTACGCAAGAAAACGTTTAAAAGTCGAAGAAATTTCTAAGTAGGATCGATGTGTGACCATCCATTATTTAGCTTTCTAAAGATCCTAAAGCTTTCGTTTGTACCAATTTAGTTTAAGTCATACCTTAAAATCCGAAGAATGCCCAAAAAAGCAAGAGTTGACATTTCAAAGCTAAATTTGGCAATAATTAAAAAAGATATAGATTCTTTTTGCGCTCGTTTAGTAACCGGAGATGAAATGTGGATACACTATTTTGACCCGAAGACGAAAAACCAAAGCAATGTGTGGAAAAGACCGTCTTCCCCAACAGTTAAGAGATTCAAGATGTCGAAACAAGCTGAGCAACAAGCCCAAGGCAACCCCTGCCACGCTATCCGTGAATTTCTGCAACATCAGGGGATTTCACTCGAACCTCAACACAATTCATTACCATCTCGAGACGGCGAAGCCTTTCTGACCGAGACGCAGGTGTTCTCTCCGGCCGATACTTCGTATCTCTTCTACCCGGGGTACAAATTGGAACACTCATTTGTGCTTCGTGCTGGAGTTTGTGTATACGTCAGAGAGGACATCGATTCTCAATGCCTCGGTAGTCTTAAAGGTTTGGACCTGTCCATCTTTTGGCTACGTGTAGACAGCGACGACCATCTGCGCATCTACGGGTGCCTCTATAGGTCCCATAGCGGTAATACCGAAACAGACCGACTCATCGACCACGTCAAAATGGGTACATATTTCTTACCACAGCAGATCCCACCCGCAGAGATCGTGATCCTTGGCGATTTTAAAGCCCACCACGCCAAATAGCTCGGTTCACGTTTAATGATCATGCGGGGAGATTTGTTCATGATTTTGCCTTGTCCTATGGTCTGACACAACTGGTTACTTTGACTACACGTATGCCATATGTGGAAGATCATGCACCTTCCCTGTTAGACCTTCTGCTGACCTCTCACCCGAACAGATATCAGTTCTCCGTCGACGGCCCTCTTGGCTCCTCAGACCATTGTCTGGTCCGGAGTGTGGTGCCCTTGGGGGCGAGTTTGCTTCTCGCGGGACGTTCCCAACGTTGTTGCTGATTCTGTTACTAATGCGGTACTTCAGGATATGGAACTTTTTATTCGTTCCTATGTGTTACCCATCGACGGCAGGTCTCAATCATGGTTTAGTCGCTCTTGTAAATAGCATCACGCTATAAGCAGAAGTGCTACCGGGCCTGGGCTGACGCATCAACGTCCCGGGATGAAAACACCAGCGCCCCTAAAAAGATGTATAATTCCGCCTCTAGATCCATAGGCAAAGTCAGAGCACATAGGCAGAATTGGCGAGAAACTAGTTCGCTTATCTTCGGGAACCCGTGCATTCTGGTCTCTCGCCAAGGCTGTCCAAGGGAACTTCTGTCATCCATTTCTTCCATCTCTGCACAAGGAGGACGACCCACTGGCCCATGCCGCAAAGGAGAAAGCCAATCTGTTAGGCTCTTTCTGTGCATCCAACTCGACTCTAGATGACAGGGGTTACACACCGCCGACCATCCTGCGGTGTGAGTGCTCTCGGATGTGCGGTTCACACTGCGCGCGATTCGCAAAGTACTCCTATTCCTGGACATCCACAAGTCGAGTGGGTCTGACGTGTGCTCCAGAGTTGGCACCGGTTCTAACACGTCTTTTCCGGTACTCTTACTCCCTAGGCGTAGTCTCGAAATCATGGAAGACGACTTTCGTCCACCTGATCCCTAAAAACGTCTAACTACAGACCTATCGCCGTCACCTCCTTGTTGTCCAAAATTGTGGAATCAATTATAAATTGCCAGCTCATGGAGTGCCTTGAGGATCACCAGCTGATTAGTGTCCGCCAATACGGTTTTCGTCAGGGTCAATCAGCTGGTGATCTTCTGGTCTACCTGACTCATAGATGGGCGGAGGCAGTAGAGTCCAAGGGAGGAGGCATTGGCTGTTAGTTTGGACACTGCCAAGGCCTTCGATCAGATATGGCACAAAGCACTCTTTTCGAAGCTCTCTTCCTATGGGCTTCCCGATAAATTGTGCAATTGGATCACCAGCTTGACCACAATCTTGCAGATTGGAGCATCAAGGTCGTTGTAGACTGTGCATGCTTCGATTACAAGCCTATTAATACTGGTGTTCTACAGGGCAGCGTTCTATAGCCAACGCTGTTTCTTCTGCATATCAATGATATGCAAACCTGTAACATTCATTGCTATGCGGATGAAAGCACTGGTGATGCTTTATACCGAGTACCGGAACAAATTTGTCTCAAATCGAGTCTTAGCTTAACAAAGTCTCGGATTGAGGGCGAATAAATCTAGTCCAGTTTTATCCTCAAAAGTAACAAGTTTGCGCGTTTACCGCTAAAAACAACCCTTTTGTCGTATCTCCTCAGTTTCAAGGCACTCCCCTTGTTGCTTCAGCCAGTATCGAAATTCTTGGCGTCGACATATAGAGTGACGTGCAGTTTCGTGGTCACTTGTAAGAGAAGGCCAAATATTATTCTAAAAAGTTTAGCGTGTTTAGCAGAGCGGGACAGTATTTCATGCCCGCGCACCGCCTGCAACTTTACAAGGCGCAGTTTCGGCCTCACATGGAATACTGTTCCCATTTCTGGGCTGGAGCTCTCCAGTGCCAGCTCCTTCCACTTGACTGCATCCAGCGTAAAGCAGCTCGAATAGTCGACGACCGAGTCCTTTCAGATTATCTCCATTGACTGGCGCTGCGAAGAAATGTTGCATCTCTTTGCATTTTCTTTCGCATCTACCACGGGGCGCGCTCAGACGAATTTTTCTGAGTAATCCCAGCCGCCAAATCTCACGGACGCACATCGTGATAAAACTCCCGATATAATCCACACTATTTGGATGTACGGCGGTCCACCATTATACGTTTCACTAGGAGTTTTCTGCCGCATACGAACTCTGTGAAATAGTTTACCACTGGCGATTTTTCCGGGACAGACAAGAGCACGCAACGCACCTGCAATTCCCTTGGTGTTGCAGTTGTTCATAGGCGTCGGTAGTCACTTACCATCAGGTGAACCGTATTCTCGTTTGCCCCCTCTCCCATAAAAAATATTCTTAAAACCTAGCTCCGAGTGATTTTCAACTTTTTACTCACCTGAAAAAGCACTTACGGGGTATGATATTCGACGGCGATGATAAGGTGAAGTGTGCTGTGGAAGCCTTTTTCGAGTACCAGGATCAAGCCATTTTTTCTAAGGCAATTAACCAGCATGCAAAACGGTACTCAAGATGTATTAGCTTAAAAGGCGTTATATACGTTGAAAATAAATACAATGTACGTATACTTATCATAGAGTTTTATTGCGTTCCCAAAAACTTATTGATTAGCCGAGTACATTTTGATTTTCAAATGCGAATACCTTCTTCTTCTCTTATCAATATAATATTTTGTAATAAGCGAAATGTATGAAAGCTTTTGGTGTTCAGAATAAAATAAATAAATAAACAAATTATAATATGTTTATTGTATTGAGAATATTATATTATCAAATCAAGCCTTGATCCCAGATATAAGCTAGGTTTGCGCAGAAACTACCTTTATAAATAAGAAAATTGTTCGTTATAAGATCAGGATGCATTATGACGTAACGAGCCGCGATAGCTAATAAAGATGATATTACACGGATCAACCAAATTGAAACAATTCCATTGAAAAGCATTGAAACATAGCACATTGAACGGCTTTACCAATATACACGTAAATCATTTAAATGCCATTCAATGTTCACAGAGCAATGAGATGTCACGCCAACTCGTACGTGCGTAATTTCGTTAATATGCGGCTATGTATATTTTTCTTGAAGCAATGAAATTGAAAGCAGTATTGAACCGCAATTGATCAGTGTCATATCGGTTTAACGATCGAGTCCCTAGTGCGAGTTTCACAAAATTATTCGAAAGACTCCACAATCACGTTAAGTGAGTTAACGTAATAGGTATTGATAAGCAAAGAAAAGCTAGTCCGAGTTACAATCAAAGCGCCAGTAACCTAATGGCAGGGCGCGGACCGCGAACTCGAAAGGTCGTGGGTTGGAATCCACCATTTGACTACTGACGTGAACCACTTCTAACACAAGCATTTTATGCTTACCAGAAGTGGTTAAAGGGAATATTAGTAATGTTTAATAGCATTATTAATATTTAAAAAAAAAAGAAAAAAATAGCTAAGATTTCGATTCCTGTTTGCTCACCTTGAATGGCGTTCGTTCCTTGTCTTCTGTAAGTATCACGTTCGCGTCGTAAGATAAAGTAACCAAATTTTGAATGACATCTTTATTTAGAGGTCTTGCGTCTTAAGATTTTGCAGACTTATCTTA